CCAGATCCTTTGTGATAAATAAGAATTTAAGACTAATTGCTCCAGATAAGCTAAAATTTCTGACCCCTAACAGTTACATTAGATGTACTGAAAGCATTGATGAGTCCTCTGAAGTAGTAAAAGTAATTTGACTGGTTGCCTCTGCTTAAAGATCTCTTCCCTCTCCCTCACCAATCCCTCTTCCATCAGGCTCAGCCTCTACTCTGCTTCTAGGTCTCAATTTCCCTGATACTGGTACATGACTGATTTGTGCTTCCATAGCATCCTTAATTCTGCCAGATAGCCTTAGCTACACTTCATCGAAAGATCTCAGTTACTTTCACCTTATACATCCCCCTCAGCAACAACCATTATTCCTTGGGGGACACTTATTAAAGGAACAGTGAATGAATAAATGGATGAATTCTAGAGTAGAAGATTTCTATAAATCCGTTGTTGCATTAAATCATATTTAATATTATTTTCATATCTGGAACTCATATTTTGGATAAGTCAAAAGAAACACAAACACTTACCTTACTGCAATTGCAAGAATCGAAAGAGAAATTGGAAGAAATTCATTTCAATGAATTGTCACAGCCTTGAGCGAGAACCATTTCATTATCTGAATTATTTGACACTTGCACACTTCCCTTACTTAAAATTAACCATAACTTATTGATTTATTAAGGAAATAACATGTCAAGTAAGACACAGCGTATGTTAAGTAATGTGGGATACAGAGAAAACTGAGGCATAATTTTTACTTGCAATGCTCATCCATCTGATGAGGAAGGTAATCTATGCTTAGCTACAATAAACAGCATTAGAAAGATTTTAAATAGCAGCCATCTGGTATAGCCAGCAAGGACCATAATAATAAGGATAACTGTGGACTGGGGTGGTGAAGAAATCTTTAAAACTAGGAAAATTTTCAAGTGGGCTTGTTAGATGATAGAACAGAAGGCTGGCCTATGATGGAAGATGCAAGAATGTTTATCTCTATTGATCTGGGGACCTGTGTAGGAAAGGTAATTCATCTACACCTCAAATCTACTTTTTATATTTATCAATGAATAAATAAAAATTTAATGCCAGAATGAATAAAGTCGCAGATATCCCCCTCTTCCTGTTCTTAGATAGCATCAGAATGGCTTTTATAGACCTACGTACTGCTTCTAAAATTGTAAAGAGTCACTGTAAAGTCTTGAAGGACTTAGAAACCCACTTGCTCCATGTAATTATATGAAATAAGTATTTTTGAAGAGATAACCATATAACTCAAACACTATTTTTCTCCACAGACACACAGCATCACTTTTCACTTGCGTAAGCAAATAAATTACAATCTTGACTATAGGATTGTTTGCAGCCATTTAATTTTTTCCGAACATAGCTCTTATTCCATTATAATGCTTGAATGATTCCCATGCAATGTTTCCAATCCACTTTTCCTGGCTTGTGAAACTTTTTAACGAAACGTTAGCATTTGCAGGCACCAGATGTTTTGACATAAGGAGAAGCAATATGTAAATTTTAATCCATGCAAGGAACAATAGCCTGCAGGCACCTTTTTCTTATTACGCGAATCATATACTTAACCGCAGTGCGGTCGGTCCTATCAAAATCATCACAATCTAGAATGCTCTATTCTTGTCTTCTGGTTGCCAATTAATGAAACTGATATATATTTTACACGATGGGTATCCACTACTTAACCAATAAGCCTTGTGGTATTTTACCACTTAACCACCCCATAGCTAGAACTCTTCAGGTGGTAAATAGTATTGGTGGTCAGTAAACCCAATGCTTATATCTAAATGGTTGATACCTACATATATCACTTATTTTAACAAAAACAGTAAAACGTGTTACAGCTGTCTTCATCTTTTCCAGCTCTGACTCGATTCAGAGCAAGGGATGTGTGTGTGTGTGTGTGTGTGTGTGTGTGTGCGTGTGTGTGTGTGTTTCTAATATAAGAGATTTGGGGACAGCTTCAATGTTGCCTAAATGTAGGTTCCAATAAATAATAACTTAAGAATAACATATTCTTATATGTAGAGTCATTTCTAATATAATGACATTAGAAAACTTTAATGTAGGTTCCAATAAATAATAACTTAAGAATAACATATTCTTATATGTAGAGTCATTTCTAATATAATGACATTAGAAAACTTTGTTATAAGCTCTCACGTGGGTTTATGTATCCATTCCCAAGCACATCACACATGTACTTACATCCACAATAAATAGTCAGGTATAACATCCATTCAGTCACCTAACTTTGTAGTCTATAGAGGGCCAAAAAATTATCCTAACTTTTTAAAGCTATATTAGATTGGTTATTTATTTCCACACAGAAATTATCATATTGATCAGTATTTTTGGCATTGATTAATGCTTTAAAAATATTCACATGATACAACTTTAAAAAGGAATAAACCTGTATTTGAATATAAAATATTACTTTCTATAGCCAACTCAGAGCTATCCTGTTTTATTATTTTTGAAGCAGGTATGTAGAAGAAAATTCATAAACATGGTATTAAATATCAGAGTGTCTTAACATTTAACTGAAATCCTTATTAATTTCATCATCAAGGGATATGTCTAGTCAATACCAATTAGCAGCTTTAAAATGTTTTACATATTAAAATACAGTATTCTATTTATCCTAGATTGTCTGGGGACTATCTAGTATATTAAAAGATTTTGCAGAGTTTCTTGGTGATTTCACTTACAATTATGCCTGTTAGCAAATTTGCAAGAGTTTGATAAATATTTTCCATAAATCAAAACCATAACAGCATGGAAAAGCAGATGGCAGGAGACTAAAATAAAGAATGTAACAATTATTTTCATTAACAGGGAAATATTGGATCACTGTTTTCAGCATGGACTGTGTAGTGAGCGGTTGTCAGTTGTGAAGTCTCAGGGCTGTTAAGTATCCTTTCAGATGATTAACCCACTTTCTGTATTTTCCAGTGCAGTCTATAGACAAAGGCAGAATAAAAAGTACATTAAAGCGATTAATAAGTGTATGCCTTCATTTAATATATACGAAGAAAATATTGGTACATTTTTAAGAGCATGTGCACGAAGATTTGTGTGTGTATTAGAGTACACACCAGTTTTCTTCATTTTCCTATAAAATAAGACACATACTTTGTTATTAAAAGTGAAAAACAGCAATAATTACAAATCCTATGGTCTTATTACACCAGCAATGTTTTCTTGATCTAAGCTGTGTTAGATTAAAGTTACAGGAATGTTACTTTAACTATTCATATGTATAGAACACTATTAAAGTCAGAGTTTTAACTACGTTATTATTAAGATTAAATAGCTAAATTAGTGTTAGCCTTGTATGTCATAAGCAACTACAATGCTGTTAGATAAGATCCTTGAATTTAGGTTTTAAACTTTAGTATATTAAAGATTAATATAATCATGGAACTTTCTGATCGTATATAATTCTTTCAGCAAAATAATAGTCTACCATTTATTTTCCATATTTTCTCATTTGTTTGGTATGTATAACGACCAGCTTTAAATAACACAGAGATAACATTTATTTCTGTGGAAAAAATAAAGTTGAAAATACAGAATTTTTGAAATAAAATGGTAGTGCAGGAATGGGGGAGGTAGCATTGCAAACACAAAAGTCTTTATTTTTGAATCCTATTAAATAAACGTCAGTAAAAAAACATTTTACTGAGGGTTAAGAGAAACAATTTGGATATGTAGAAATACACACACAAATCCTTTAACAAGAAGATGACAAAATGTTCCCTTTTATGTATACAGCAACGGATAGTGGCATTTCATCATTCAATTAGTTGAATCCAGTGGGAGGTTGTTTTTTTTAAAAATCAGAATAACTATCTTCTGATATCCTATACACTCAAATCCTCTATGAAATTCACAGAAAAATTTTAAGATAACTATTTTTTATCAGGTTTTGAACAGTTTCCTTGTTTACGAATTAAATATTAGAAAAATGAAAAAATTTTGATATATGCAAAGACTAGTGATATAGGAAGGTCATATGACACATTAGATCAGCAACACACTCTAAATGTGTTTAATATTAGTTAAGTACATTGAATGAAATCTCTGTGTATGTAACTTACACTAACTCAGGTGGACATCTTATACTTATCAACATGCAGAGCACTGGAAGGGCAAATGATGTCATTCCATGTAGCATATATAGGCTGCGTTATTATCAATACTGAAGCCAAATTCAATTCTTCAGGTGTTTTCAAGAAACCCAGATGGTTGATCTCGTGCTGATAACACAGCAAGTGATTAATTGATTCCAGTTTCCATCTACATCTTAGATATTACAAGATCATAAGTATCAGCTTCGGGATATTGTAAAAACATTAAAACAGTTATAGTTATGACATTTATTAATTTAAACATCAAAATTCCACAACATCAGAACAGCAAAAAAGTATTTTCATGATACTTTGATGTATAAGAAAATTCCAATATGACTCAATCTATAAAAACAAAGAAAAAATACATTCTTCTTAACGTTGGGAAAGCTAACTTCTCCCCTGACATAAAGGTAAATGAGCATGCCAAATCAAGAAACTCATACCTAATTTTTTTAAAGAGCTATTAAATATTTTATTTACAGTCATGTGAGTGGGGAAAAATGAGTTAAAAAAAAAAAAAGGAGGAAGGCTATTTCTCAATGTCCCCGGCTCATCTGGGTATTTATTATTTAGAGCTTTTAGACCCACAAAAGAAGGCTATTGTCACTGATATCATGTCTGTAAACTGAGGAAAGTTAATCTGTGTATATAAATTCTCCAGTTTTGGGAAAGGACACTAAAAAAGAAAAAAAATATGAAGAGGTACTCATAGGAGGTACTTGTTATTTCAAGATAATTTGGGAGTAGAAAGGTCTGCTTAATATGAATCCATGAAAAGGTGATAGCCAATATTTTATAATAAATAGAGACAAAAGATTGAATGGGACATTATTTTGAAAAGATAACAAAAAGTAATTAAAATAAAACTTTTATTTTAAACAAAGTTTATTATAATTACAATTATGCACTGATTCATTGAATGAACAAAGCTTGGTTAATTGTGTATTAATAGTCCAGTGACAGCTGATGCTTTTTGTGACAAAATTGTTTGATAAACAGTATACCTGTTTTACTGCAGTAAGTCTCATTTCTACACAAATATTCTAGACATCTATCAATTTCCCCAGGATCTCTCTTGATTCTTAGATACTCAAACAATTTGCTTTTGATTTATATATTTTTGATATTTATATGTTCATTTTAAAATGTTATCATCAGATGTTTACAATATCCAATAATCATAGAGAAACTGGCCTATAAATATATAACATGAGTATATAATAGGAGGTATATAAACAATAGCGGATGTTGGAAGGGGTCTACTTTATAAGTAAACAGTTTCCTTTGTGAATAGTCTAGTGTTGGTACACTTTCACTTTCCTAGGCAACCTCCTCACTTTTGGGGTTGAGAGAGTGATATACAGATAACTAGGGTTCCCTCCTCCATCACTGTATATGACATTAACTACTCACTTAGCTCTTGATAGATACATAGCTACAATGCTATTCATGAAAGTAACAGAACTGATACAGGAATTTTTTACCTGGCATCCAACAAGACATTCAGGAGTTTACTAAAACCTTTCGGTCAATGCAAATTTGGGGCTGTATATACAACTCTTTATTTTTCTGGGAAGTCTATAACTTTCATTAGATTCTCAATGCATTAAAAAGAACTACTGACTACAATTAAATCTATTTCAGTTAACTGTGACAGAGCACCACTCTTTACTCAGTCTTTAAAAACCCATTACCCATTTTAAGTCCCCTGGAGCTATTACAATATGAAAGTAGCAGCAAATATTAGTAGTACCCTTTCCAGATCTCTTTTGTCCACGCTCTACCACCTGTGTCAAGTCCTTCCGTTAGACAAGATTATGAGGAACGTGTTTCAGGGCTGTGTAGTAGTATTTTAACAGGATGGAAAATAATGACAGTAATGACATCATCAGTGCAAGTCTCCTCAGAGTATAAAGAAATGAGAATACTAGATAAAATGAAAATAGAAATTAGCCTCTATCTGGAATGTGTTTTGCATGGACTCAAAAATATATTCCTTTTCTATGATTTATACTGTTATAGTAAACTATCGACCCAGATTATAAAGTGGGATTTTACCATGAAGTCAAAAGTATATAATGTTGTCTAGAAAATTCTTGAGAAAGTGTATCTTATTGCCCTTTTTCACATGGCATACTTCAGATGAATTTATCTATCTGGCCTTAATGACTATTCCTATAAATTTAGAATTATTTTTTCATGTCAAACAATAAAATTATTTTAATTCTCCAAACTCTGAACTAATGCTGTAAGCTAAGCCTGAGATAACTCCTAGAACATAAGAATTTAATATTTTCCCACTTTCATTAGCATATGTCTCAAATTTTGTGATGACATAGTTCTGAGTAATACCTAAAGCATCCTTTCAAAAATTTATCCCAAAGGTAATATTCAAGGAAGATTACCTCCAAATTATTCAGTAATGTACTGTAGCATTTTAATTTTTAGGCTTCTCTCTTCCAGTAAAATAAATTCAATTCATACCAATCTTTTCATCCTGGTACTCAAGGTTTTGCACAACCTGTTGCCAATATTATTTTCCAGGACTTCCAACCTGGCATCTTCTAGGGTGGTCAGATCTTTCTAACAAAAATTCCATGGAGACACCGCCTCAACTTATTCTAACTTTTACCACTTGGTCAATACTATTCCATAACATACCTTCCTCTCCCCCATATTTATGCTTTTAAAAGAAGTTACATTCTGCCTTCCCATAGAGTTTTGTGATTCTTCAACCTTTATTCATTTATTTTCATTTTCTCTGACCTTCTGTATTTACAGCTTATACTGTACTAGGTAGAGTCTAATTCATGCGTCTTTTATCTTTTGTTGTTGTCTCTCATGTAGTCTTGTTACTCCCTGAGGAGTAAGACCAGAGCTTGCTCACTGTTCTACATTGTCACAGGATCCATTGCAGTTTGATTATCTCTCCACAAATACTCATAGATCAGATGATCACTCATAGAGGTTCAGCACAGAGCAACAGCCTTGGTTAAGTCAACCCCCAATGCCAAGCTCAAGAGAGAAAATTTTGAATAAAGCATTATGGTTATAAACATTTTTAGCAAATGCTAACAAAGCTAGCAAATTCATGGGGTGCTCTAACTACTTATGGGAATGGAGATCTATCCTCCACTCAGAGCACAATGCAATAAAAAAGAGTCTGCTTTACAAATAATTTTGTCAGCTGGCAAACTAATTTTCCATATTGTCAATTTGGAGCCACACTGTATCACCTAATTAATTTACATGCATTTTTAGAGACAGCGATAAATTTTAGATAGCTTAGAAATTGTCCTAGTAGGTTGTGTGTGTGTGTGTGTGTGTGTGTGTGTGTGTGTGTGTGTTTTATTTACTAAAATTGATTATCCAAAATGTCTTTTTGTTGAAAAAGATAGGATTTGGAATGTGATTTCTGATGCTCATTAGAAAATCACAAAAGTGAAAGGAAATAAAAAAGAAATATGATACCTATGTTGCTGTGCCTGTGTGTAAGTGTATCTTTGTTGAAGTGGTAAAATTTTAGTTCAGATTCTTGAGAAAAGTATTCAGTGTGTTCCTTCTTTGACAACAGAATGTCTCCATAAATAGAATTACTATAATTGAACTGACTAAAGGAATTAGGGTCTAATTTTAGAAAGCAAAGTTTTTACACATTTTTGGTATTTTATTGTGGAAAATTCTAATGTTCGTTGTAGATTCACTTTTCAATTAGAAGTCACAGGTAATCTGTCTTTCAACTATTTCCTCTGTCAAGTTTGAACGTCAAGCATCATGTCCCACCAGATAGAGGAGAGAGGCAATGAACTACCAGATCTGTTGAGCTTGATACTTGAAAACTAAGGTAAGACTGGAAGGAGTTGGAAGTGAATAGCTAAGAAAAGGTTTGTATATTTCAGTAGGTTTACTGCCTGAAGTTTGTTAGTTCTAATGGTACATCACTACATTGCTACTTTTAAAACATCAGTAGAAAGCTATTTCCTATGCTGTACCTCTTTCCAGGAAAACAAAATTTAAGTAGATTTGGGCTAAGTAGTCTTAGTCAAAGAAGAAAAAATCCTTTTTAGTTCTCAATAATTCTTCAATACCATGTTTCTTCTTCCTGTGAATTCTTCTGTTGTTTATAATCAGTTTCTCATGAACAGTATATTCCTTTTGGAAAAATTAAGCCAAAGCAATATATGAAACAGAACGTAATTGCCTAGCATCCGCACAGAATTGCTTCGCATGAATCGAGCCTGTTTGTTTTTTAAAACTCATCGCCGTCATCTGAGCTAAAGCTACTTCTCCTACTGCTTTCTTTGGAAACTGCAGGGGAAGTGGCAGATAGCAGAGGGTCTGTTCCAAATGGAGATACTGTGTCATCCAGGAGCATGTCATTCAATCTTTGTTCCTCTTTCAAAGCGGCACTAAATGATAAATCTGTGAAGTGTGACAAAGGATCAGAGAAGGCCATAGCTTGATCACAGAGCTCAGGGCTGGTCCCATGAGACAGAGTCAGTTGTTGGCAATAGTCTACTGAATTCTGCTCAAGATGGGTCTGGTGTTTGGTGACATGAGCACCTAAATCAACTGTGCCAAGTGAAGCCAGGGCTGGCAAACCATGAGCACGAGCTTGTATTTCTAATTCCTGCAATAATAGCACACAAGAATAATTAAATAATGGCTTTGAAGGTAGACTTGACTGTAGAAAACCAGAAAACCAGAAATAGAAACAAAATATTAACAAGCATTCAAATGAAGAGTAATACATACTATAATATTCTTTGCAAGTAATGGAATATAGTATATTTCTCTTGCCAGAAAAATAACCCTGAGAAAACTATACAGATTAAAAAAAAATTCTCCTCCCATTGCTGTTTAAAGGAATACATAACATATAATGGTTCACAGTGGCTCAGACTGCAATACAGCCTTTTGGAGATAGTGGAAAATATTTCACTTATTCTTCCTGATTCATTTCTCACTATAAGGCCATTACATGGAAACAAAGTAGTGCTTTACCTGGCAATAAGCATGCTCACATAAAAAATATTGAGAGTTATGAAAACCCATATTTTGATATTTTGTGTCACATGAGCAGATGAGGAGTGACTTAATATATACCGGTACAATATGCCTTGAGGCAATGAAATCCATAGCAATGTTACTAAAGAAATAAAAGGGAGAGAGAAGAATTTAGTGTCCTTAGTGTCCAATTTTATCTAGAGACACAAATGTTTTACTTATTATTAATTTTCACCTGGGATACTATTGTGTGTTTATAAAATTTGTTCTAATTTCTGCATTTTGCAGTTAGTTGCTGTCATTTACTCTATTTCCAAAGCCACCTTGATCCTGGACTCCTAATCAAAATCTAATTGAAACAACTCAATTCATGAGCTTCTAAAAGGCAATAAAATTATCCTTTGGAAGGAAAAAAAATAATTGTTAATAAGAAAAAAAATAAATGAGACAATGAATAAAAACGATGATGGATAAGTTATATATAAGCTATGTGGTTCATGGCAACATTTTTATAAAAACCTGAATTCGGAGTAGAAGCCGCCTGTTAGCCTGCTCTAATTTCTTCTGTCTGTGTTCTAATTCTCGAGCTCTCTGTTGTTCTTTTTGTAGCCACTTGATGTACTCCACTGATGCTTTCAGAATGGTTCCTTTGTTCCAGCGCGTATCACTATAGAACGGAGAGATAACCTTTTCACAATTGTGCATGTCAGCAGAATTCATAAGAACTTACAAAATCTTTTACATTAATATGAAATAATGATTTACATGACTATTATTCACTCTTAGATATTATTGCTTCTGAATAGAAATTTTAATAGAATAGTTAAGAAGCCCTTATATAGTAAAATTAATCCCAGAATGAAAATAAGTGTCAAAAGAAAGTAATAAAGTGACTTTTTGTGGGAGAGCTAAATGCAATATCATGATTCTACCATTACAGTTTTTATATTTTTAGTGAAAATTGCTTTTATTATTAACTCTGAGATTAAAATCTATGTGCAGTATTTCTGCATTAATGAACTAGGAAATGTACATTACTGAGGACTTAAGCCTAAATTTTTTAAGATCATTTCAAATGTACCAATCTTTTAACCTACTTTCTAATAAGGTTGCTTTTATGCTTCTAAGAAAAAAAAAATAAGGTTTCTTCTGAATGGTGATCCTGAGTGATTGTGAAACAAATCAGAGTTTGGCAACATCACTTTAAGCAATAGAGCAAAACTTTCTAGAATTGTTAGGCAAATTTTTCTACACAAAAGCCGTCAATACTTTTTTTTTTTTTTTTTTACAAAGCAGGATGCCTATTTTTAAATAAGTTTAAGTGCAAATAATTAAATACAACCAGATAACCTTTCAGGTTATAGCATAAAAAATATTTTATTAAAACTTATTTTGAAGACAGGAGAAATGATAAATCTGGAATCATGAAATAGGCTACCGATTTTAACATCTGAAAAAATACATCAAAGAATTAGATCCTATATGAGAGTTAAGAATACATGTGGAGAATGAGGCCAAGCTAATTGCTAAAAGTTCATCAGAGCTGTTGTAAACCTTGATGAAATTTTAGTTTAGAGTCATAAGATTATTTTTAATACAACATACAGTAAGCATGCAGGAAAATTTTAAGAAGACATTACACTGCATGTATTTTTGGTTTCTATGATCTATGTGAGATATATTGAAATTACTATGCTTTTGTTAAATAATCAGAAGTGGGAAGATATAGTTTATGAAAAATCTGATTTGCATATGCCTCCCTGGGTGTTCAGGTTACATGATATTTCTATCAGCCATAACAAATTAAAGGAAGATACATGTTTCTACCAGCAGGTGAAAATGCTTACTAGGGCCTGGTTAAGCCATTTTCTACTGGAAGTCACCAACCCATTACCAGTGTCTGTCTAAAGTGTGCAAATGCTTTGTCAGTTGTCTACGAATTGCTGGTCTTACTCCACTCACAGTGACTTATCAGGGGACGGGAAGGCTATGCAGAAAGAGGCTACTTTTGTCATTAAACTAAAAAAGTACCTGTAACTTAAAAAGGTATTGGACTCTTGGATTAAAACTCTAAGAGTCAGCAGGAGACTTATGGCTCTAATTTTGTTTCATTTCTTCTCATTGGAGGGAAAACTTGAAGAAAAGAAACAATAGAAAGAGGATAACTCTGGTCAATTTTGAAGTTTAAGGTGCTGTTTATTTAGGTCTAATTAAACCTTCAAAATGATCATAGAGATCACAGAATGGGTCTTCTGACAATTTCTACCTGACATTATTTGCACTAAATTTTTAAAAGTTCACTCTATTTTTAAAGCCATTTTAATGTATGAGGTTTCTTTTTTAAATGTTTTTGGGGCACCGGGGTGGCTCAGTCAGATGAGCATCTGACTTTGGCTCAGGTCATGATCTCATGGTTGGTGGTTTCGAGCCCCTCATTGGGCTCTGTGCTGACAGCTCTGAGCCTGGAGCCTGCTTTGGATTCTGCATCTCCCTTTCTTTCTGCTCTCCCCTGGGGTACTCTACATCTTTCTCTCTCTCTTTCTCTCTAAAAAATAAATAAACATTAAAAAATATTTTTGTTTTACAAATTTATTAAGGAGATGTTTTTCTCTCAAGATAATTTCAAACAGTTAGTCATTAAAAACATTATGACAGCTACATTAATACACAACAAGGCATGCCTACGGAATAAATGTAGATACTGGCTTTTCATTTTCTACCAAATGATTCTCTTTGAAGAACTTTAAACTTTTGAGGAGTTAAAAGCTATGCATTCTAATGCACACATTAGATTAGGAATGTGGTCAGGTAAAGTATGGAAAATATACAGTCTGTCATCTTAGGAGTGCACATCCACTTAACAACATTAAAAAATGAAGAAAGAAAGAGGACACCATGACAAGTTTGATTTTTTTCTTTCTTCAATCAACACTTTATTACTCCTAACATAGAAAGTCTTGCTAAGTCTCATATACCGCTTCAACCACCATTCTTACACAAAAGCAAGAGAAAGTTCTGACATTAGAGGGGGAAAAAACCCAGATCAATTTAGTTAAAAAACTGTCATCTAGGTCGTAAATAAAAAAACAAAAAAAACACAAGAGTAATTTGTTAGTACCAATAGAATAATTCAGGCTCTGACAGTATATTTCATTTACACTAATAAGACTTTTTATAAATATGGTTATATAAGTCAGACCTTATATAAAGCATTATATGAGGTAGACCACTACCACACATCTGTAGAAGCTCTTACTTTTCATGTTCGTTAGTTTCATTTGGTTTTCTTTTTTTTTTTTTTTCAATCAATGATCAAGAGATTGTCATTCCTTGGTAGTTTGTTTTTTCATTTAAGTTTTTTCAGCACATATTATCTCAAGTATAGCTGTTCACTATATTATTTTCCCTTCTGACCTTACCCTTCTGACCTAGCAATGACCTACAAATTTCTGAATGTTTTTGATACATTAAAAATGGCAACTTCATAGAATTCAAAATGTCTCTAGGTATTGGCTTTGATTCCCCAAGCCAACCACTAAGTTTATTCTAATCATGAGCTGGAAAGGTCCTCCGAGGTCAACTACTTCATGGTTTCTGCTATTTGCCGAAGAGCATGTGGTGTTTAGAAGATGAACCCCAGTTTTCCTCACTTAATTCAATGCTCTTTTTGCAAATCTGTGGATTTCACACTTTCTCAAATGCATCTGCCATAAGAATTATGTTATCTACTGTGAACCAGTGTATTCTCAGTGCATAAAACTGCAAAAAAAAAAAAAATGTTTCACAAGATATTACTATTCCCTTTAGGTGTAGTATGTAATAATCCGATAATACCAATACTATTCTTCCTTCTTTGTTTAAAAATGCAGAATCTTTCCCATTTGATTGATTTTGTGATCCATTAATAGGTTATAGCACACAATCTGAAAAATCCCATATTAGACAATTTTGTAATCTGATATATTTCTTATTTTTAAAAATTATGAATTTCATTTTATAAGTTTATTTATTTAGTTTGATAGAAAGACCATGAGCTGGGGAGGAGCAGACAAAGAGGGAGAGAAGAATCCCAAGCAGGCTACCCGCTGTCAGCATGAGCCTGACTCAAGGCTCACAAATCGAGAAATTGAGGCCTAGAGCTGAAATTAAGAGTCAGATGCTCAACTGACCGAGCCACCCAAGTGCCCCTAAAAATATTTTATGAATTTTAATGGTTGCAAACAAGTGCTTTGAAATGGTACAACAAACTGAAATCTTGTTTGATTTTTTTGATCCACTTGTTAATTCCATCATTGTCACACACAGTAATAACATTTCTTCAAAGTGAAACTTGCCTCCTCTATTTTATCCACACACTCTCTCTCTACTAATTAATTTTCTGTAACTTTTAGATTACCCATAGTAGTGTCTGTAAATTCAACAAATGAATCCAAAATAGTTTCATAGAGCAAGTGGCTACTCCTTAGGCCCATAGATCCTAGTTTTAAAGAGGTTATGTTCTGGATTCAACCATGGGATTCATGTTGGCAGACGCTAGAGAGAAGAACTAGTGTTTAGGTGAGGCCACAAAAAAACAAGGGATAAGATGCATTGAAACAGAGTAGTAGCTCTGGAATAACAGAGCTGACAGTGAAGTGTTCCTTCTGTCTATGCTATACTATGTGCGCAGAGCCACATATAGATACCATTAACATCTAATCAATTAATGTGTTTTCAATTAGACCCCAAATATCATTTCCATACATATAACATAATACAATTAAAATAAATAATCATACCTCTTTCCCAGATCCATAAAGAAGAAAAAACCACTTAAGAACACTTACAATCAACTTTTCCCAATGGTATTCTCTTTCAGATACGATCCTACGATAAATTGATTTTCTTTATCCTAGAACATGGGTAGGCAAACTACAACTTGCAGTCTATTTTTGCAATGAAGTTTCAGTGGGAACAGCCATGTTCATTCATATACATATTGTCTATGTCTGCTTTCATGTTACAATAACAGAGTTAGAAAGTTGTCATGGACTATATGGCCTACAAAACTAGAAATATTTACTATCTGGCCCTTTCCAGGAAAAGCTTGCCATTCTTGGTTCTAGACAGTAAATTAGAAGTAGAAAGAGGACTTTTTATAACCAAAGTTTCTTAAACATACAGAATAATAATCCCCCAAGTGAGATTTATAATGTGTATGGTATTCTCATATATATTATTTGGTTTTATGTTTATAAAACTCCAATCATACAATTGGTGCCTTAAAGGCATGGTGAGGATGGTGAGTTAGGTTTCACAATCCAGCTTTAAAGTCCCATGTGCTTTCTGCATATAACTGCACCCAGGCACTGGGGGTTAGCTCCACCAGTTATAAGAGAACCTTTCTTAACTGACATTTATCCAATCACAATCAAGGTTAATTAATGTTCTCCATTCCCTTTGTGACACTCACTGACTGCTGTTAGGACAAAGTAGGTAATAGAGGGCAATAGGCCACCCTCTGATATGTCCAGGTATTTCTGTTATCATTGTAGTGCCATGTACTTATTGGTAAGTTATTAAGTGCATACTTATTGTATTTGTTATGTTGATAATAAAATTAAATTATAGGTACATTAGCTAATGAAATATGAATGCCAAAAAAGAAGGTATTTATAAAAAGAGTTATTGTTTGTAGGAATATTATGTTAAAAGTTCTGGAAAAACTCAGTTAAAATGTCCATAAAGGTTGCTTGCTAAAAAATATGCTGTCACAAATAAGTGTATGGGAGCACCTGGGTGGCTCAGTCGGTTAAGCGTCTGACTTCGGCTCAGGTCATGATCTCACGATTTGAGGGTTGGAGCCCCGCATCGGGCTCTGCGCTGACAACTAGCTCGGAGCCTGGAGCCTGCTTCGGGTTCTGTGTCTCCTCTCTCTGACCTTCCCCTGCTCACATTGTCTGTCTCTCTTTCTCTCTCAGAAATTTAAAAAAAAATTAAAAAATTAAAAAAAATAAGCATCTACTCATTTTAAAAGTCCATCTGTACTTAGGTTGTGTACATTTTTGTTTTATTTTAAAGAAATTAAAATAGACTATACATTTTGGTGCAGTTTATGTAAGAAAGAAAAGCTTCTTACTTTTCTTTCTTGTTTGAACACATATTCAAACAAAAAAGCCTTGGCCTTACAACAAATGTTTGGTGAATAATTGCGCAGTTATATATTACATGTTAAAAAATATAAGTCCTACCAGGAAAATGGGTATTCTCTTCTACTGATAGAAAGAGTTGCATATTTAGGGACTTTTAAAAGATTTGAAGAGGGGCACCTGGGTGGCTCAGTCATTTGGGCATCTGACTTCAGCTCAGGTCAGGATCTCACGGTTCGTGGGTTCGAGCCGGCGTCGGGCTCTGTGCTGACAGCTAGCTCAGAGCCTGGAGCCTGTTTCAGATTCTGTGTCTCCCTCTCTCTCTGACCCTCCCCTGCTCATGCTGTCTCTCTTTCTTACTCTCTCAGAAAGAAATAAAAACATTAAAAAAATTTTTTTAAATAATAAAAGATTTGAAGAGTTAACAGTGGGGCCTACACTATGACCAAGCTCTTCAGATGCTCCATGCAGAGCTCTTTCTACCATTCCATGGGATGCCTTCTCCATCTATATGTCCACGAAGATAAATATTACATTTCTTTCTATTACAAATTATTGAATTGTCTACATGAATTGGCACATTTGGATTCAGGGAAAAAGTATTCCACGTTTCACTAATATCGCTTTATCAAACATCATTGTTTTTGAATAATTGATGATCTCCAGTATCAGGAGACACCAGTTCTCAGTGTGAATGAAACATTTTCAAGTCATTATTAATGCGACACAGCATTTTTTTTATTTTTTGGAGAAACATTCAACATTCTAACTTGATACCTTGATTAATCAGGTAGTTCCTGCAACCTCAAATATCTTGCTTAATAACTTTAAGTGTGTATGACACCAAAATGTGGCAGAAATGTAATTACAATAACCAATTATTGGTTGGCATCAATCAGCATGTTGTCACAATTCTACTTTTTTACTTGCATGCCTCCAGAATTTTGAGACAGCTGAAAACCCAACAATTCAATGCCCAGGTGCATATAAATCTTACACTGGAAGAATTGCTATAACCATAAACTGAGTATACCAGTATCATAGACAAGATTTGATATTACCACTAAATTTGCCAATATTGATGCCATTTAGAAAGACCTGCTATGAACTGAGAAGAAATAATTTTCTTATCTCCTACATCTCAGAAGGACAAATGTTAGTAACAGCGTTGATGCTTAATAACCATCAGTCTTGAGTAGATATTTAATAAGAAGACCAGCAGTAGTTTTACCTATACCATAAGCTGCTTAGATTCCTAATAATTGGTTCTCCCCTCCCCTTGCTCCCTCCCACCCATTTTTTGGGGTGTAGTCAAACCATATCATTATTATAGAAATGATTGTTGAACTCACGGATCATTAGACTTTGGAATAAGAGTGCCAAGCTCCTTGATTCGGTAATTAATATTATACCTTCTTCTTCTTTCAACTATTGAAAAAGAAATATTTTTTATTTAAAATATTCATTATTCGAGTTAAAACACAATTCACTTTTGGTCAGCTGTAAACTTTATTAATAATCTTTAAAAAATTAAGCAAAATAATTTCCATATAGTCAAAAAAGTATTCAGAAATACAATAAAAATCCAAATATATTTAATTCTAAAAATAAAAATAACAGCATTAAAATTGTGATTCTATTATTGATAATGCTTTAAAAACATTTTCTCTCAAAAACCAGTTTTTTCACTTTTTTTGGAAATGCTAAAATACTTATCCATATTGAAAAATATATTTGCATTTATATATATATATTTATCCTATTGGATCATCATTTCACATATGAATGCACCCATCAGGATCATAATCTTTCAAGGTCTGCACCATGCTTAGTCTTCTCATACAATCCCTGAAGTCCTGACACAAAGTTCGGCACATGGTACGTGTGTGTCCCCAACTAGACTGTGACTTCTTTGAAGGCAGGGGCAATTTATTCCACATTTTTCTATCCTCCTATTTGGCATATAGGAGGTGCTAATAAATGTTGATTAGACTGTGAATATATTTTTCTAATTTAAAATTTTTTCAATGATATATAGAATAGTGGTTTTCAGACTGTGGCATGCATTAGATATATGTAGAAGGACTGTAAAAATGGATTTGTATTCCAAACCTATTAGTAGGTCTGAGTTTGGGCCCAAAGATTTCCATTTCTAACAAACTCCCAGGTGATGTTGATGCTATTTGTTTAGGGCCTACATTTTGAGAACTCTGGCATAAATTCTTATTCAGAGACTGTTTTCTCTGTTTGCATTTCCATGAATTAATTACTTTTGGAGATTTTATGCCTCTAATAAATATTCAATAAATGTCAGATATACAAATAAATAGAGTTTCCTGTATTTACTCCTATCTAAAAGCAGTTTCATACAGTATAGTGAGTTTTATAGTTTATATTCCTAGAATCAAGAACCACAACATATAGTTCTATATAATATTTATTCCAAAAGGTAACATTTTAAAAGTTTTCCAGGAAGTGAAGGAAGAAAAAGTTCATGAAGAAGAAGAAAATCATATATCAAAAATATTTGAACATTCTTTATACATGCTAAAAATTAAGATCTGCTACCAGAAATAAGGAAAATCATGAAAGATAACAATTGTCTCTATAAAGCAATTCACCATTAATGGATTTGACCTTCAGTAATAATATATTGGGGTTACTCTAAAAGTGGAATATAATTGATTCTTGAGAGAGTTTATTTTCCCTCTTTGCTGATCCTTTTTTCCCAGTGCATGTGATTCAAAAAACAATGACACCACATTAAAAAACAAGAAAAGAAAGTAAGCAAAAGTAAAGCTAATAGAAATACATACATATTTCACAGTAAGAATTATTAATAAGTCTATGTTCACACATACTCACTTCTATATTATAAAACAGACTTTTAAATATAAGATGAAGAATAGCTATGAAGGATGTTCATAGTTTTACCTCAAAATAGGGAACTGGTTTAGTTTTAGACTATTTCTCCCAAATCTATTATTTAAATGTAAAGTATCAGAAGTTCCTCCTCTACTCTTCTTAGATTGTGCTTGATAAATTTTTAATGGCTAATTATAATAAGAACTTAGGTTCCTCAATGTTTTCATACCCAGTACTAGTTATTTGTAAAACAGTCAAGTTTTAAGAAATTACCAAGTTACTGTATGCCATGTGTGGTTTCACTCTTCACAATTTTGGTACATTCATTCATTCCTGTCCTTAGGTCAAGGTGAGAGAGGCCCCTATCCTGGACCCATACTCACCACATCCTTCCCCAGTGAGCAAGTCACCCACAGAGTCAAACTACACTGGCTAACTTGTTCCAGGAATATCCTCCCAATGCTCTGAGCCCACTTCCAGAGACTATGGAGGCCACTTCCAAGTCCATCCTTTTGAGGGAGGACCATGACAGCACTGTGCTCACCTCTAGGCTCAAGATGCAGACAAGGGGAAGCCATTTAAACAGATGGGTGTGGAGCTAAAATGTACAAGATGAGTGTTTACATTCATGTCTGAGGCCACTGGCAGCACAGAATGGAACAAGGAGTGGGGAGAGAAGTGAGATGGGCTGCTGGCTGAGGGCTGGCTTTGCCTCACTCTGAAATCTCCCCTCAGAGTTCTGATGATCTTAGAATTCTGAATTTACACCTAGCCTTCCAGTCTTTAGAAAGAATAGAGCATGTTTTAATGGAGATTGAGCTACAACTTTTAAATATTTAGACTTCTGGTAAGTGAGTTTTCATTTGTCCTCTTCCCACGATCCTCACAGATTTTAGGGATTGTCTTAGATACATCATATTGAAAACATATTAAAAATTTTTAACATTGATATCTCCAAAAAGCAACATCTCCCAGTAAGGGAATCCAGATTAGAAGATACTTGATAATAGACATACCAGGTGCCTATCATACTTCATGTTAAATGATCTGTTATTTAAAATGCAGATGTAGAGAAGAGGAGTGAAGAACAAGGAGAATAATAATGAATTAACAAGTTTAAAACTGAGAGAGAAGCCAGTAGTTCCTTGCTGTATTAATTCCTTCTATCAACAACTACCCGCTCCCCCCTCCCCACCCAACTCATGTTCTATTTGTCTCATAGTCTGCACCAAAGCTTATCTGCTCTACCACTAAGGGCTATGGGAATCAGATCATGCTCCTCTCCACAATGACACTGAGGACAGTCAGAACCACATGTAAGCTCTTCCCTCGCAATCTCACGTCAGCAGACTTTGATCGCCTTGTGATGCAGGCAGGTGCAATATGAACAGAAGGCCACAGGGTTCACAGCTACATGTAGAATCAACTTCTACTAACCGCATATAAGAACATTCGTGGTTAGTTTTAGAGCTTTAATGTTTTTATTTATTTTTATTCTATCTTATTCTCTTCTCATTTTTTGATGTGGCTTGCAAAACAGAATGGCTTATACTGCATTAGTCAAGCTCACTCGAGACAGTTAAGCACTTAAGACAAGACCAAATACCATTAAGCTCAACATTGCTGCTAAACTACTTCCCTTGCTTGTATTTCTCCATCTCATGTGACCCCTTGTCAGAGTCAAACTGACCCCCAGGAAGGCATCAGAGACATTTTTTACAGAGGTAGAATTCAGCAGTACAACATAAGCAATACCTTTCAGATAACTTATCATTAGGAAGAGAGGAGCAGACTGACACAGAAAGATGAGAACATGGAGCCTTTACTTGATTTTTAAGTGGTGTGCAATTTTTAAAGCCACTTTTATCTCTTTGAGTCAATGAGTCACACTAGAGCTCAAATGTAACTAAATACACTCATCTCTGTCACACCCAGCCTGCTCAAGAGACAGAGTGATCAAGGAGACAATTTGAGATGTTTCACTTCCTAAAAATATGTAGCTTTTCTGAGCCTTCACCTCATTTAAATTTCCTAAAATAGCTCAACTAGTGAGAATATACTATTAATTTTGGTTATGTGATCTCAAAATACTTATGGAATGATAATAAAAGACCACATATTTTAATCTCCATGCATTTCCTCCTTCACTATTATTATTTTTTTTTAGAAAAAAGGAAAATATACTCACTGAGGTTGTGGTTGTCCTTTTTTTGTCTCTCTTTTGCCAAAGCTCGTGTATCTGTTTCTAATCAAAAAGAAGATAATTCAGATAGTGCTTAATTACACTTTACAACCTCTCTAGTCAACATAACTCAGAAATATTAGGTGAAAATATTATATTACTTACTCCAAATGCCATAATAATATTTTATGCAAATATTTAGAAACTTGGAGCAAAGTACTCTTTAAGTAAGAGGTAATGGTGAGCCTTTTAAGCTTTGAAAAGTGGATCTGTATTTCCGTTTTCCATTTAATAGACATGAAATCTATTACCTAAATTCTCTGTGACTCAACTCCTCATCTGTAAAGTTGGTATAATATAATACTTATTTGATCATCATTGTCATGATGAAAAGAGGTTCAAGTCATAGCAAATGTTAAACTGCTCAATCATTATTATTATTTTAAGAATTTTAAGATTATATAAAATTATTCCAACCTAAATTTTTACAACGTACATTTTTCATAAGTAGTTATGATTTCTACATCCGTGGAGCTAGAACTAGCTACACTTCTCAGATATTCCTATCCAACAACTCAGCACTTCTAAGAAATGATACTTTATGCACTACACGGTTTTAAGCATTTATGATAGTCACCAACATGGCCTAAAATGATTCTCATGACATTCACACCTTTGGTAGTTCCTTTGCACATTGAACAGGGCTGACCTGTGACACCAGCGGAATATTGTGGAAATGACCAGTGTGGCTTCCAAGACTAGGTCATAAAGGCATGTTCAGCATCCGCTTCGGTGTCTCTTGAATCACTAGTTGTCATATCGTGAAGACATTTGATCAGCCCCGTGGAGAGGTCTACATGGTAAAGAACCAAAGCCAGTTGCCAGCAACCAGGACTAACTTGCAAGACACATGAGTGAACAGTCTTAGGAGCGCATCCTCTAGTCCACCTTGTGTCAAATGTCTGCACCTCTGGATGAAGTCTTGACTGCAACCTTATGAAAGACTGAATGAGAATCAATTTTCTTTTCTCTTTTTCAATTTTTTTAATGTTCATTTTTGAGAGAGAGCAAGCAGAAGGAGGGGCGGAAAGAGAGGAAGACACAGAATCTGAAGCAGGCACTAGGCTCTGAGCTGTCACCACAGAACCTGATGAGGGGCTCAAACTAACAAACCATGAGATCGTGACCTGAGCTGAAGTCAGATGCTTAAATGACTGAGCCACTCAGGTGCTCTGAGAACCAATTTTCTAAGTCATCTTTGGATTTCTGACCCATAGAGATTATATGAAATAATAAATGTTTATTAGTTCAATCTGTTAAATTTTGGGATAATTTAGTATATAGCATAAATAATTCATGCAGTGTTTCTTGTATTATTCTAGTTTTTAAAACAGGTAACATAGGAATACAATTATTTAAACTTGTTTATTTAAAACTGTATTAATTCATTTTAATCTAAATAATTTGTATGCATAAAAATTTTTGAGATATTGGTTAGACCCCAAAATAGACCTATTGTGCTTACTAAATTTGTTAATATTAACTATGAAAATATTAATAAAGATCAATGTTTGGGCTCCAAACTAAAAACTTGTTATAGAAATTTTAATTTTTAAAATTTTATTTTTATGGAGGAACTAACAGTGGACATTGTAAGTCAGGAAATCCTTATTTTGATGCACATCTGCTTCAAATCAGCTGTATGACTATGAAAATAACTCTTTTGACCCTTGATTTCTTCATCCATATATTGGAGGAACTTGACAGTTTCCCTACAACTGTTTTGAGTTATAGCAATTTTGATATGTACTATTGAAAATTGAGGGTTTTTTTTTACATACCTGAGAAAATTAAATGTGAATCTATCAGGAAATCCATAAAGCAAGGTAAAAAGGAGCAATCTAATTGTTTTATATCAAATCTACATACAGAAAAAAAATCTTTTCCCCCTAATCAATCAGTTATTTTGTAACCATGTTAATAAACTGCATGTATTCAATATCAAAATGAACTGTTAAGTGAACAACTTGGTCAAATTGTTATATATACATATGTGTATATATATGTATACAGAAAACTATGTATGTAGAGCATATGTGTATATTTGCCCAATTTCTAAAATAGTCAATTCAGTTGAATTATAAGTTATATTAACTTGTTATTTGATTGTCATAGAAAAAAAGAGTAAATTTACTATCTACATTTCTCCCATTTTAACTATTTTGATAATATTTTAAAAACTGTATTTAGCTTGGTAATATATGTCCCTTATAACTTAAGTAGTGGACTTACAAAGGGATAAAACTATAAAAGCAACATTACCTGTAATTTCTCTTTTCATTGGCAGACTACTTGGACAGGAAGCACTTGTAAGGCCCATATTAACTGGTGAAATTCCCTGTTCACCACTATACACATCCAAAATGCTTCCAGATAACTTTAGAGAAAAAAGGAAGAAAAGATGAATCAAACCATCTATAGAAATTGATATATTTAGATGCAAATTTAAAAATTTCCACTTTTTTGATAATAATTTGTTATAAATAGCATTTTAATTTTAAACAAGAGTAATATGCATTGACTTTTTAAAATCATTATGGGATGTTTATGGATATATAGAAAAAAAGCTATTTGTATTTAAGCAAAAAGAGAAATTAGTTCATTCATTAAAGAAAATTCTGATTAATATTTACAAAGTTATAGAAGTTTGACTTGCACATCACCTGGTTATAAATGAATGATTTTAAAAATCATTTGGACAAAATCAATATCCATATTAGCAAAGCTGGAAAGTTCACTGCATACGTTAAACTAGGTATAATGGTTGAACATTTTGGAAGCCTTCTTAATGCCATCAGTGCTACCAGCAACTCACAGTCAAGATGTGTCTTACACTGTTAATTAAGTGAGAAACTTTCTTTCCTTCCTGGAAGGCATATTTTTTCTCATCGCACACTTAATGTTCTAGATTATTATAAATATCCCAGCTGGTAACCCAAAGTAGTCTAAAACTGCTTTTGCCTCTAGTGGATATAGGGTACATCTAATTATAGAAACAGTGAAATTCGTAATGTGCTTCTTGAGAACAATTTTTCAGAAAACTAAGATGTTTTATAACACAATTGAAAATTGTACCAACTTATTATATAAAATGTGCTTATTGATTTGAATTCCCAAGAAAATTTAATTTAAATAATATTCATAACTCAAGTTAATGTTCATTATTCCAGACCAAGCCACATTTAAAATGTAGGATTTGAACATTTAAAATATTTCCATTCTAAGTATCTTTATTTTATTTCTGGGCAGTAGACTAAGAACTGAATAAGGGGTAACTTTTTTCTTTCCTTAAGGACTAGAAGCAATACAAGTAATAAAATAAAGCTACAGCAGATTATTACAGAGACTGTAACTCCTTATTCCTGTTTTTTATAAAACTCCAATTCAAACTGAGGGAAATTTTTGATACTTATAAAATGAGACTGAAAATAAATGTGAAGAAAGAACATTTAAACACCAAAATTAATTCTGACAAAATAATCTGTTAAACTATATGTAAAAATATTGTATATATATCTGAGGGAAAAGAAGTTGGGAAATACAGTGGAAATCAGGCTAATATTTGTGGGTGTGTGTTTCAATAAGGACATCATAGACTGCATGTGGTATTCTGATATATATTTATATATACTGATTTTTTCATTATTTTCTCTATTAAGATTCCTCATCTTTATTTTACATAAACTCAGTTTTAAAATATATTTTTAATTCATAAATCTTGGAAGGGAACACTTAAGTCAGGTATTTATTTCCTCTCAATTTCTTCATGTGAAAAATAGGGACGAAGTTGATCAAATTGTGTAGATGAGTGCTTATATCAGAACAATACAATTAGGAAGAAATCCTAAAACCATATATATATTTCTCTAACGTGTGAGTTACTTAGTCATATTGTAAAAGTAAAGTTTCCAAGACCTTTTTGAAAATCTTTTGGTTATAAGCTGAGGCATCACCATCCTGAATTGTACATTTCAGCTGTGCCTTTGAGAAGCATAATGGATGTACTGAACAAAAAAGATAGGGAGTGAGGGGGAAGGAAGAGGGAAGGAACTAGGGAAAGGGCACTTTTCTCTGAAGAGTTTGAATTCAGATGGATTTCAATGCAGCAGTAGCAAATTGCAAAAATGTTTAAGAAGAAAAGGAGCCATATTACATATACACTGCAACAATAAAGTGATGGGTTCCTAACTATAGCATTACTCTGAGTCCATATTACCTGGTCAGACTATACCTAATACCGAAATGGGGCTGAAAATCTGATAATGAATCTAATCCTGCTCAACTATAGGTATATTACATCATCTCCTAACCTTGATTATAGTCTAATTTATGCCCTCAAGCATAATGATTAATATCCTATTTAATTTTATGCTGTAGGTACTACTCTATTTCACAAAAATGGCTAATCACTTTGTGAATATCATTAGACAATTGGTTTCAATTTCAAAGTATGTACTACAAGTTATCTGTAGTGCTTTTTCTCCATTAAAATATATAAGAATACAATGTTAGTGAAAATTTAAAAATTACATACACATTTGAAAAGACTTACAAAGCAAAATTATATGTACTTTTATCAAAGGTATATGTTACTTAAGTAATATGCTATTTTGTAGATTATTAGGAAACTGGATAGATATTTTATGAAGAATATTTATTATTCTAGTTTAAAAACACTACTTTTTCAGTAAAACAAAACATTTCACATGACAATAGGGAAACAGTATATTAACAACAACATCACAAATTTTAAAGACATATAATAAAGAATTTATCATAAAATATTTTTAATGAGGTAGAACATATTCCTCAAGACAATACTTCTTTCTGGTTAAGAAACATAAATTTCTGATCTCATAAATTGCTCTGAGGTGAGGAGTGATTGGCAGTGATTCCTGTTGGCTGAGGTTCTCCATCCTAGATTTTACTCACATCTCCACTACTGAGATCATAGAGACTGATGTGGATTGTGCTCTGACCTTCCCTCATTTATATTGCCCTTCACAGTAGCCAATATTCACTGAAGAAAACAAGTAAACCAGTCAAAATATCAAAGCATTTGAGGAAAATGACTATTTCAAAAGTAAAACAACATGCAGTGTGAGAAATAATATCAGAAGCAAAATGTAAAAAATTAAAAGATCACATAAAACCAAGTTTCTTAAATTAGTCTAATGTACATTCTAAAAAAATAAAAGATATTTGTAATAATGTATAATATAAAATGAGAACAAACAAACATACAAATGGCCAAAGTGAATAAACAGAAATAGGTTTGAAAATATAGTATTTGAAAAAAGTATAAAATTATGGAATGGAAAAGTAGCATAATGAACACACTGAGAAAAGAATAATGGAATTTGTAAACTACAAAACCAAACTGAAGTAATCTTTCAGGAAGGATGAAGAAAAAGATCCAGTAATAGAACATATAAAAGAACATCTAATCAGTTTGGAGGATAGATTTATTAGAAATATAATACAGGAATTAGAAGTTTCAGAAAGAAAGAGATATAAAACTGGAAGAAAGAAAATATGTTACGAAATAATGGAGAAACATTTCTGATACATTGATAACAGACAAAATTTGTTATTTTAATATATCTTATTTTATTATTTTATTTTGATTTAAAATTCCAAAGGCCTATAGAATGCCAAAGAAGACAGATAGAAAAACAAACCCAGACATATTATAATGAAATTTTAGGATACACAATGATAAAGAGGAAAATCTAAAAGCCTAAGGAGATAAAAGAATACGTCCAAAGGAATAAGAATCTCATTAACATAAGACTTTTCAACAGCAAAATTGAATGAAAGAGGAAAGCGAATCAATATTTTTTAAATGTTGAAAGAAAAGAACTTAAAACTTGAGTTTTATATCCAGCCGAAGGGTCATTCACAAATTAAGCCATGATAAAAATATTCTAGTGGCATAAAATACTTAAGGATATTTTCCCAGAAACACTAACATTGAAAACAATTTTGGATGAAGTACATAAATAAAAGAAATCTAAAAGATATGTTCTAAAATGATGAAATAAAAATTATCAAATACCTTAGTAAGTAGTGAGGCCAAAAATGATGAGGAGAAGCAGGTCAAAAAGAAAGTGAAATATATAACCATGTAACTCAGTATTAAAATTTAAATAATATCTGTATGAATGAAGTGCTGTAAAAGGAAACCAAAGGGTGTAAATGTAGTTAAAAAGTACTAAGGAGAAATATGGGCACAATTAAATAATAATTTAAGATGAGAGAAACAGCTGAAAATATATCAACATAAATAGGTCAAAGCAAAAAGCTGACAGTTTGGATAAGACAGTGCAAGAAACACACCTACATTGTAAAATGACACACAAAGATTGAAAATTAAAGGATGGAAGAAGATACAGCCAGTAAATGATAACCATAAAAAACTTATGTAGTTCTATTAAGGCATGTAAGGTTTGCAGGCATGTAATAAAATAACCTCAAAATATGTGAAACAGTTTTGAACTAGAAGGCAAAATTAATGAATCCACTAATGCAGTCAGGAGTTTGGACATTTCTTCTCATTTTTGAAAAGTCATCAGATAACAAAAATCAGTCATGTTATGGAATTATTGAATGATCAAAGTAAAATCTTGGCCTAATAGACATATGTACACTTCTATATTCAAAAAGTAGAGAATACACAGTGTTCTCAAGTACATATGTAACATATAAAAATATGGATTATGAACTCAGGCAAAAAAAAAAACTTTCAACATATTTCATGGAGACCCGGATTTCCAGAATGCTTGGAAATCTTTAAATAACTCAGGGTAAAGACGAAATCATGCTGGAATTTAGAAATAAATAAAAGATGATAAAAATACACATAAGAAACTTCTAGGATATAGCAAAACAAGGCTTTCAAGAAAATTTATGCCCTTAAAAAGTAATATGAGAAAAAAAGACAATTTTGAAATTTGATAACTTAAATCACATTTTCAAGAAGCTAGAAAACTAGCTAGAAAAATAACCAAATTAGACCAAATAAAGTAGGACAGATAATAAAATAAAAGTGTAAGTTATTGAAAAAAAAAGTAAATCCACCAAGGAAAAGGTTTTTTAATTAACAAGAATGACATGTTCCTGCAAGATTTATTAAAAACAATGAAGAATAAGTAAAAAATATTTCAAAAAGCAGGATTAACTAAGAGTACAACTTGAGATTTAAAAATAAGATTTTCCCCTTGAGAAAAGGAACAAGTGAAACAAGGATGACTGCTTTCACCACTTCTCTTCAACATAGTATTGGAAATTCTAGCCAGAGCAACTAGACAAGAAAAAGAAACAAAAGAATAAGTAAAATGATCTTTGTTCATGGGTGACATGATCTTATATTTAGAA